ATTGCCATTGCTAGTCATTTGGGTATTGTTGAAAAAGTTTCTAAAACAAGATGGAGCTGCTCCTACCCAGGGTGTCGCATAAGCAAACCAAAACTTAGATAACTTTACTTACTGGCCATGTAAATGCTCCACTTGACCAGAAACACAACATATCCAGTCAATTTCCAGTCAAGCCAACTCTGGGCCTTCTCACTCCAAATAAAATTGACTAAGTGATCCCAGCCAATTAGTTACTTTCTATTGTCCTCTTCCTTGTTCTTTATTCTTTATCCTATAAAAGTTTTCTGCCTTCTGCCCCATTTTGCAGGTCTCCAAATGCAGACTGCCCAGTTCGACAAGTGTTTGTTTGTATCACCCAAATTGTCTTCTTCTATCATTTTTAACTCAATATTATTTATTAGAATGATGAAAGATGAGAAAATGGGAATCAGAAAAAAATAAGGAATTCTTCAATTTGCCTCCAACCTACCTTTTGGGTTTACTTTCCCTGACCTCTTATTGTTCCTTACCTGAGGTCTTTTCCAGAGCTATATTTTACAAGTTAGGACAGACTACTCCTCATCCAGCTCTCTGCCCCAGGAGGCTGATCTATATGGACCATATTCCCAAGAACTCTGGCTTTCCATTGGGTTTAGACAATTTTGAGGTCTGGTAAAAGGTCAGAAAAAGGGAGGAAAATGCTAGAGGTAAGAGTATTCCTTTCCTTTATGCCTCTGACTCCTTCCCAACAAGGTTACCATAAGTTAATTGTGTCCCTCACCAAAGCTGAGTGTTCCTCTCAAGATAGCTGACTCTCTCTGGGTTCAAGCAATTGATCCCTTGTTACTGTGGCCAAGGCAAGGTAACAATGTGGTTGCTACTAAGGCTCCTTACCAACCACCCTCCTTGGAACTTTTTTGTGGATTCCCCGAATGCTCAACTTTGAAAACATCCTTTTGTAGAAACAAAACAAAACACAAACCTATTCAAACTGTCCTTTTTTGAGTATGCCATTTGCTTCTTATTGAGACTTAGTCAATATACATACTTTTATTCATGCAGTACCCTCAGGTTAAAATATCTTTCTTCTCTCTATCTTTCTGGTCAACTTCTAAACATGTTACCAAGCATACTTAAATATAGCTGCCCCTCTGTTATTTCCCCTGTTGCCATCACAGAATGGATAAACTGATCATTTATTTATTTTTTTGCTCCAATAGCACTTTATTTTTAAAACACACAACCGGGGTGGTTCCATAGAGTAGTGGTTGGCACATCTGCTTTACATGCAGAAAGTCCTGGGTTCAAGCCCCAGCAGAGAGGCACAGGCCAGGCCCTGAATGCACACTGCAAGCCCGTGGGAGGATACACCCCACCTTCAGTGGGAAGAGATGTCCCACCTTCAGAGATCCAGTTCTTAAGGGGAGATGGCAACATCCATAGGTCAGAGGTGGGGGGTGAATTTAAAAAAAAAAAAACACAACCTACATATATATAACAATTTAGTAAAAGCATAATACATCAGGTACAGTAGACATCCAGTAACTGTGTCAAATTTCTATGAAGCAACTTGAGTTTTTTAATATATATGTGTGTGTGTGTGTGTGTGTGTGTGTGTATACATACACATGTATGTTATTAAAGGTATATATTTTCAAAGAGTGAACTAAGAAATACCTTTAAATAAATTAGTTTGGCTATGCATCCAGAAGAAAAAGTGCTAAAGACATATGTAATATATGGCTCATCTTTTAGAAATGTACTCTTCTATTCTTTGTTTTTATCTTTAAAGCCTTGAATGTTTAATTCATCTTGTAATATTATTTTATCTTTAAAATATTTTCTGTTTGGTAAATTCAGTTAAAAACATAGAAAAGAGACATTTACATGACCATATAAACAGGTGTCATCTTCCAAAGTGTTCAATTGAAAAGACCAGGTGTTTTAACAGAGAAAACAAAGCTATTAATTCAACGATTGGTAACAGTTCTTTTTTTTAATGGTTACCAGATGATTCATAAGAGAAACATCCTCAAGTTGATTATAAAGGTCAGTCCCTTGTGGATTGCAATAAATGTTCAAGTGCAATTTAAAACAAGCCTGTTAAATACCAGGATATACTCTACCTAGGAACAACTTTAGATTGAAAGGCCAAAAACCTCATTAGTTGATTTTTCATCGACAATTTAACCCCTCCCCCAAAGAAAATCTGATGTATCATTTCTCATAAATAAAAAACTAATTATATCATTATATTAACATAATAGTATCTAAATGTTTCCTCAATATTTGAAACATCTAAACACTACAAAATAATGTTTTGGGCCTAAATTTCCAGCTAATTATCTTCACTAAAATTTTTAGAGAATATTAACAAAGATTACACAACAGTTTACTTGATACTTGTTTAATGTTAACATGATTTTAAAAGGCAAGTGAAAATTTAAAAGCCACATTTTTTTATTATAGGATTATTTCATTTCATACAATAAGATAAATTTTTGAAAGAAAGCATAGTATAGTATATAGCATAGTACAGAAAGCATATTAGTCCATTTGGGTTGCTCTAACAAAATACCACAGACTAGGTGCTTATGAATACAGAAACGTATTGCTCACAGTTCTGGAAGATGTAAGTCTGAGATTAGGGTGACAGTATTGTTGGTTGAGGGACCTCTTGTAGGTCACAGACTTCTTATTGTATCTTCACATGGTGGAAAGGGTTACAGATCTCTCTGGAGCCTCTTTTACAAGGCACTAAACCCATTCATGAGAGCTCCACCCTCATGATCTAATCATCTCCCAAAGCCTCAGATACTGGTACCATCACATCTGGCATTAGGATTTCAACATAAAAATGTGTGGGAGGACACAAATATTCAGACCATAGCAGAAAGTATAAAAGATTTGCAATCAGATGGTAGAGGCACATGCTTATCATTATTCCCAATATATAGTAGTAATCATTAATTCCTAGTAATTATAATGTCACATGTATAAAAACAACATACTAAAATTAATTCATTCTCTATTTAATGCAAAAAGTAGAAACGATGTTAGATCTCATAAAATTTTCTAATTTAAGGAGGAAGGAAAAATTATCAGCACTTTAAAAAACTGATAAGTTTAGTTCTTAAAAAAACCAACCAAACAAAAATGACTTAGAAGTGACAATGACCTAAAGTGATCTAAGGTGACAATGAAATCAATAGTACTATAATAGTTGGTTTGCCTCACAATTCTGTAAAATTAGGCTTTATAAACCAGAGACAAATCAAGCTGTCTAGTTTATTCTTTCAAAGATTAGGCCTAAAAATACTTTAACATTCAATAAGTATTTTTTGTGTGCCTACTCTTTGCCAGGCACTTTTCTAAGAATTGAGAATATACAATATTAGCAAACAAAACAGCAAAGGTCCCTGCTCTTGTGGAGCTTATAATGACTTCGAAAAGAGATTATTTATATTAAATTTAAATCCCTCTTATTGTGTACTATAGCTACTTTTTCTCCTTTCACTACAGATTATAAAGAACCTTGGCTGCCATTCTACGTTAAATGTCTCTTTACTGCAGACAATATGCTCTTCTGGTAACTATATTATGTGTGGCAATATTTCAGTAATTTTCAGATACATTTATAATTTCATTTTTTGTGAAAAAAAACTTGCAAAACACACACTCCATATTGATTTTAAATATACTTTAACTCTAATTAATGTTAAATAACAAAAGCCCACAAAAATAATAATTCAGTCACAGGATTTATCATGATAAATGCTATGAAAGTTATTGCATGTCTAAGGAAGGGAAACAGAAAGAAGGAACATGGAAATATTTTATATAATTATATGAGCATGGGCTAACATTAAGTAAATGTTAAAGGATCCGAATAGCTTGTTATATAATCAAATGCCTCAAATCTGTAATCCAGACTCCAGGACCAACCCTTGCACCTCCCTTGTGGAAACAGGAGAGGCCTATGGGCTCTGAAGATTGTGAATACAGACCACATGGTCAGCTAACACAGAGTGCAGAGGAGGCTCAGCCTGCTTCTGACAGGCTAATCTAGGCACCCTTACCACAGTACAGGAGAAACAAGAACCCCCGAATCAAAGACCAGAAAGGGGAATAACCAGAAAGCATGTCCCAAAATGCATGTGTCTCCAACACAGTATCTTGTCCCGCATTCATGTGGCTCATCATAAAGTCAATTTTATAAAGGATCTCTTTACAAGTAAAAATTCTCTCTACATTTGCTGATTTGAAGACAGTTTTTATGTTTCTATTAAACTTTCTGTTTTCCAAGCTAAGCTATTAGCAATTACCCAATCACTCCTTTCATAAAGTTTCCAAAGTTGATAACACAACTTAGTTTGGCCCTATCCAAACAGTTCTAATCTAACACATTCTGATTTGTGGATGCCCTTTCTTAAATATCCTCCATTTGAACATTTAGATTGTTTCTCCCACAATTATCATGAATTGCATTACCTTCTCACATTTTAACTCAAACTTTACTAACAGGATAAAAAAATAAATTCAAATAAAAAAGGAGGAGGGGAAAGTACCTTTAATTTGGATCCATGCAGTACTATTAGAGATTTATTCTGCTTCGGTGGTATATACAGCTCCCATTTTCCATAATCCAGTTTTTTATATGGGTGGGAAAAGGGATTCCAATCATCTAAAAAAAATGAAGATTAGTTAACAAACCCTGATTAGACTGATTTTTTAAACAAGATTTAATGAACTTCAAGCACAGAATAACATGCTGCCTACCTGTACAGAATCAAATTTCTTAAAAATTATTGAGTATTCCAAGGTATTAACCAAAATACCAGGCATTTAGAAAAAAAATCTTAATATATTTTTAAGAAATGCATTTGAAAGTTTGCCTTTTGCATCTTAATATGAAGGATTACAACATTCTCAATTGTACTTTCAACTCAAATATGTCTATCAATAAATAGAACATAAAGGAAACTGATGGGACCTTTTTTAAGAAATACCCTCAACAATGAGAGATAATACGAAAAAAATAGAAATGCATTCTAGGCAGTTAGATAAGATATATGTCATGGTAAAAAATAAGTGATGAAAATAATTAAAATAATATTACATCTCCCTAAATTCACAAGCATTTGGGAGAACTGAGATGAAATCTTAAAAAAAAAAAAAAAATGCCTTAAGCAAGAAAGGTAGAAAGTTATAAACTATAGGGGACAAGGGAAAGATGGATTGAAGATCCAGGAAGAAAGCCAAAATGAGCAACAACAGACCCATGCACACATGGAAACATATAACAGAGATGGCATAAAAATTAGTAAGTAAAGGATACACTGTTTAATAAGTGGTGCTGGTTACTCTTACAGTTAAAAATAATAGTCTCTACCTAATAATGTATCAAAGAATAATTTGAACATAGAATAGTATTTAAATTTGATAGGTGAAACTGTAAAATGCTTTGAAGGTAATACAGGAAAATATATTTATAATCCTGGGTTTAAAATGCATTTTTTAAACAAGATTTAAAAAAACAAAACCCACAACATTGAGAAAAAGCCTGATAAATTTGACCACCATAAACTTATCTTCATTGAGATGGATAAACAGACAGACAGAATGAATAAGACAAGCTACCATATGGGAAAATATATTTGTAATGAATATACCAAAAAAGAGAAAAAAATGTGAAATATATGAAGAACATCTATAAGTCAATGAGAAAAAAAAAATCAATAAAAAATGTACAAAGATATTCGAGGGAGGACAATGAACATATAATGATGCTCAAGCTCACTGGTAATTAAGGAAACACAAATTACAACAGTAAGATGTTGTTTCCCACACACTAGATGAACAACACTTAAAAGTTTAAAAATATCAAGTAGTCAGCAAGGATATAAAATAATATTGTAGCCGAGGATATAAGTTGGTAAAATACTTTAGCATCATATAGCAAAGTTGAAGATATGTCAATTCTATGGTCCAAGAAATCTTACTCCTACGTAATAGCCTAGGAAAATTCTCACAAATGTGCACAAGAAAGCATCTACAAATGTTCACTGAAGAATTGTTTGAAATAGCAAAAAATGAAAAAAAATGCAGGCTATCAAAATTTAAATCACGCACAATATGGGTAAATACCCTGTGGTATAATTAAACAGTATACTATACAATAATATAAACTGAATGGATTAGAACAAATGTATCAATAGCCAAAACATAACAGTTAACTTTAAAGGGTTATGGAAGAATACCATGTATATCAAGTTCGAGAAATATGCGAAATGGCAATCTATTAGATGCATAAAGAAAAAATATCAAAAGAGAAATGAGAATGCTAAACATCAAATTCTATAGTGATCTCCACAGAATAAAGCAAAAGGAACACAGGAATCTTAAATAATATCAGTAATATTTTATTTCTTAAGGTGGGTGGTATACATAGAGATGCTTATTACATTTTTCCCTTTTTGTTTATGCCTAAAATGTTTCATGGTTTAAAAAAATAAATAAATAAATAAATGAGCAGCTCTGTGATGCTATACACTGCAGTGCTATGACACTGGATTCTTAATTAAAGATATAATAAAAACATCAGAAAGCTTGTTTAATGCCATGATTTCGTCCTTTAAGCACCAACTCTTTCACTCCATCATCTCTAAGCATCTTCACTCTCTGCCAGTCTAAACACTGGGAGTAAAGGTGAGCAAGAAACAACATTTAAATAAAGGTCTTTCTAAATATTTCTCTACTTCCCATAATGAGAACACCTGAAAATGTCTAAAGGCAATCTATTTTCAGGAGCATCTCACCGGGCTCTGTATTATACTCTCCTGCCCCTAAAATCTTCAAATGTGAATATCTGAGTGCTGTAACAGTTTATAAATCTACTGAATTTCTTTTTTAAGCTAATCACTTAGGACAATTAATAAACTTAAGACAAGTAGCAGATCATTTCCTGCTTAGTTTGATCTGAAAATAAAGGGTACAGTTCATTAGTTCTTTCATTCATTCATTAAATATGTACTGAGTGCTTAATGTAGGCTCTGCTCAATGTCAAACCCAAAATTAGTGTTCAAAACAATAGTCATAGCTCAAAAAGAGGTTTAATTGAGTAACAGTACATCAAAATGAATAGTAAAATTTCTAATACAGGATATACTACGAATTTAATAGTAAATATGAGTTTATTTTAAAAGTGAAACTTTGATTAAATGGGAAATTTATATATGCAGATTTACTTAAAAGTTGTTTTCAGCAAGGCAAAAATAAATGGGTTTTGAATAGTAGTTTTTGAATATCAGTTGAACTATTTTTTCAGCTTGTAGTCACTTGAGCTTTAAAATCTATTAATGTAGGCTCTTCATACAAATATTAATATTTGTATGAAAAATACTTTTACTGAGTCCCATTTTATTTTTATGATATCATAGAAGGCTAAATTTCCTAAAGCACATGTTGATTATTTTTAATTCTACATTGTGAATAAAAACGTTTTTCTATCATCTTCGAGAGTTCATTTTATTAGCCCCCCTCTTCCTCATGGAAACTATGGAAACTGAGGTGTTGACTTTTACTACAGGTACGCCTTGACAAACTACCAAACAATCTTAAAAGCAAGGTTTAAAATATCTTCACATATGCTTCAAAATAAAAATCTATTCTACCAACCATTACAAGTAATGTAGAATACACTAAAAACTTCATATGAGAGAAAGAGACAGGTTTGCAAGGCATACATTCATGAAACAACTTCAGCTTTTTGCATTGGACAATTCTCTCCTCATGTAAAGCCCTCTTCAGGCATATCACCACCAGCACCTTTCATCCCCTAGACTCTTTCTCCAACCCTTTTCTAGCCTTGAATTTTCCTCATTCTCCTTCCTTTACTAAATGGTGTTACTTTTTTTTTCCATTTAAAATATAGACATGAACCAAAATACCCAGTTCTACTATATTGCAGATATATGAAAGATTTTTTTCCAATAAAACCAGCTTCTCTCTCAAATGGTTTTCCCAAAATAAATAACAATAATAATGATAAATGATTCTAAAATGCAGTCTGTATCCCTACGTAGGCCTCAAGATAAGACCAACAATATCCCATCATGACATGTGACAATTATTTGTTTCTCTATCAAGCACAGAGTATCACACTGAGAGTCTTGTAATTCAGTGGCTCTCAAACTTTAGCTCACACCAGAATCACCTGAGATTTTATTAAAAAAGATTGTTGTAACCCACCCTCAGAGTTGTTGATTCAGTAGATCTGAAGTGTGGCCTAATAATTTGCATTTCTAACAAATTTCCAGGTAATGTTTTTGCTACTGGCCTACGGACCTCACTTTAGAAACAACTGCCTGGTTCAGTCAGTGTGTTTAAGTGTTCTCTACGCATAGCTTTGTGATTGATTTCCTAGATTAAATTAGGTTTACAGACTACAAAATAATGTTCTAAATCAATAGGTCAAGAAAATTCTGAAATAGAAAATATCATTAATAATCCTTTAAGGCAAATATTACTCAGATGAAATTTGGAATTTAGGATTTGAGAATGAATAGGGTTATAAAGCTCAGAAGATGAGCAGTGTGATAAAAATTATAGAACAGATCTGAAATATTAAGAAACTTGAATGTATTACTGTGAGGGAACAAAAACTGATCATTTGAACATGAAAAGATAATACATATTAAGACCATTACTCAACATACTGTTATTAATGTCTATAGGTAATATTTTGTAGAATATTCTCACCAAGAGATTACTTGGTTAAAATGTATGAACCACTGATCAAAAAAATGAATAAAAATATAAAGGCTTTTACCTAGAAAAGTAATATTAAAGTTTTTAAATGTTAACATATTAACTCATCTTCCTATGTATGCCTCATATCCTATCATAACATAGACATTCCTGGGTTCAAGAGTTAGGTACCCCCAAAACAATGTATGTTTATTTTCTAGTTATAGTAAAATTTTAAGGACATATTTCTTGCTTGCAAGAATTACTTTATCATAACATTTTCTAAGACATTTGATATTTATCAAGTTAAGATAATCTGACACATTTTTAAAGCAAAAAAATTAATAAGTATTTTATTATGAACAGATTGAACTTCATCATATTTGATAAGGCAAAAGCTTCTATTTGTCCATAACTCAAAACCAGCAGACAAGATTTAAATCAAGATATGGGAAAGAAACGGTGTGTGATGAGCAGTTGAATATGAACTGCGAACATACGTTCAGCACAGACGATCAAACATTAACTAAGGTCACAGCATCAGGCACACAAACTCTATATTTATCTCATACCCAACAACCTTTCTTTTTCTAATGTAATAATCCTCACATAAAATTCTTAAATGTCAGCCTCCTTCAAATATTCCCAAACTCTTTAACTCATAGTAAAGTATCAGCACTTAGCAACCTCATTTCTGTGGAGTTTAGTTTAATATACATTTTCCATATGTATGGTAAAACGGTCCCAACTTACTATACAGATCCTTGTATCTTTGATGAAATGCCAGTGTGCTGAAGAACATGGTCTACACCTGAGTCAACCCCTGGCACACGCAGGCCTCACCAAGCAGTGAGACAAGACCCATTATGCATGCAGCAGACAGGGCTAATATAAGGCCAGTACTGGCCCATATGACAGATTTTAGCTTCTTTCCAT